TGCCTGTACACTTGTGGAAGAAAAGGTTTTACATTTTTATCATTTTTTTTCCTAAATTCAAGAGATTATTTTTAGTACTTTCTGCTGAGTTAAAAATGTATTTTGTAATTGTAGAAGGATTTTTGAGGACTGAAATCCTCCAAGCAAACTGCAGAATATGGACTGCACTGTGACAGTGAAATTTTCCCCACATTGCTGCTCCATTTCTTCAAGTCAAGAGATCTCTGTGAAGCTTTTGTTTGAAGGAAAGCTGTTACTAACTTCAGAAATACTTTGCTCCTCTCTTACCACGTAAGATGTCCTTTGACTATAAAGATAAGTTTAGGTGAAGAGCAAGTGTCAGGACTCATAGAACTTTGACTACTAGGATAAAAACAAAGTCTCTTTTCAGAGCCATTAAGCATGTATGCAAACTGCCAGGAATGAAAGAAAAGCAGAGTAGGAATTTTAAAAACTTGAAATGGGTTAGAAGAAAGGTAAAGCACCAGAAGATGAAATAGACTTGCCCAAGAAACAGTCCTGCACTTTGCTCTATGAAAAATGAAACAAATGAAGAGACAAAATTGAATGTATAAATCATTTCAGTCATTGTTCTCTGATCTAGCATTTGAGCTGATTGACAAAATATTTGTGCTTCACTACTACTACGGAAGAATCTCTTATCCTTTTTAACATCACAATTGAAATGCTCCAATTTAAAATTTCAATTTTTTTCCCTGTGAGAAGTATATTCACAGAACACATGGACACTGAATAATCAGCCGATCATTCCTATTTCCAAAGCAAATATTAAATGTTTGAAAAGCAAAATTGCTACAAGGATCATGATAAAACCCAGGGAATATATATATTTAAAAGTTCAATTGAAATAAAAGGAGCATAGTAAAAATTAAAATGGCATTTCGAAAAACCCCACCCCTTTTAATGTCACCACATACAATACAGACTAATGACCCTTAACAAAAAATGGGAAAAGCTAGTATTTACTAAAGGCTGACAGGCATAATTCTGCTTTTGTAGTTCACCCTCATATTGTTGGTGCTTTGGATAATTTTGACATGTCTCTGGTCACATGACCACAGTGAAAGCTCAGGAAGCATGTGCATACTTCTGCTACATATTGACAAACGTGTTTTGGTCTTCTTTCTCAGAATAGAGAGCCAAAGGGAGGATCATCTAAAGGGCAGCATGTTCTGGTTATGATTCCCTGGTAAAGTGCGCTGCGGCTGAGTAGGGTCAGGCAGACCAAAAATGTGCACAGCTGGTGCTAAGGCTGAACAGAGAGCTGAGGAGGCAAACAGAATCACAGAATCCCAAGGGTTGGAAGGGACCTCAAAAGATCATCTAGTCCAACCCTCCTGCAAGAGCAGGGTAACCTAGAGTACATCACACATGAACTTGCCCAGACGGCCCTTGAATATCTCCAGCGTAGGAGACTCCACAACCCCCCTGGGCAACCTGTTCCAGTGATCTGTCTCTCTCACAGTAAAGAAATTTTTCCTGATGTTCACCTGGAACCTCCTATGCTCCAGTTTACACCCACTGCCCTTTGTCCTATCACTGGACATCACTGAAAAAAACCTAGCTCCATCATCCTGACACTCACCCTTTGCATATTTGTAAACATTGATGAGGTCACCCTCAAACGAGGGACTCTTTGCCGTTGCTTCCTTTGGCAGAGCAGAGAATCTGGCCCTACAATATTTAAGAGGAGATGGCATGAGGCAGCCTCTCATGGTCATGCTTCTGCTTCTGGGGGACAGCAGCATCCCCAAAAGGGACATGAACATTAGCATGTGCTACAGGGGACACCCTGCCTACGTTGCACTAAGCCTGAGCACTCCCAGTCACCAAAGCCAGTCAGCTCAGCAAAACGGCACACTCAGCCCGAGGCACACATGTTAGTGTGACAGGGAAGGAAGCCTGAAGTTGAAAGTGAGCTCAAACCCATGCTTAACTAGAAGGGTGGGTGACCAATAGCAAATTTCTGGCATGGTACCAATTTTGGTGCTTATAGAAATTAGGACTGGTAATGCATATAGTTCTTTCTGAAATGAATTTGAGACACCAGATACCAAAGGAAGCTTGCCATCACTGCAAGAGCATTTTTTTCCTCCCAATTTATCATCAACAAAAGCATTTTTCTTTTTAATGTTAAGTGGGACCCCTCCTAAAGTTTTGCTTTTTTTTTTTTTTGGTGTTTACTAATTGTGATGACTAACTCCACCAATACTGGCTACTGGAAACATCCTCCTCACTAATGCTTTGGCAATGTCACCTTAATACAGGCACAGTTGTTTCTTCTCAAGCACAAATCTTACAAGCACTATCAACCAGCTCCATCATTGGAAGTGATTAGAAGGCAAGTCTAGACTTTCAAAAACAGGCTTAATAGTGTGATGATGAAATATTAGTCAAAGCCACCTTCCAGTCTGAGGCACTCTTTATTTTTACATCATAATTGTCCCCAAACACTGCTGCTATGTAAAACTGTGAAGCGTTGTTAAAAGTAGCTGGTGAAAAGTCCAAATCCTCCATTAAGTCTCTCTTTGGATCTCACCGTTGTCATGGCTTCTGTAAAATATCAGAAAACACTTAGGCAGCGAATGTACTGTATCTACTGCCTCTTCTAATTCACTCTTCCTCTGTGATTCACCTGCTCGTGTTTGCTCCAGTCAAGGTAGCTGCTGGGATGTAAGCTCTTATGAGTGGGAATCAGTTTTGGTGCACACCTGCATGCTGCTCAGCACAGCAGGATCTCATCCCCACATGTTAATGTGAGATGGACACTAGAAACAGCAAACTCAGGGTATTTCTTGCTGAGAAAAAAAGAATGGCTGTCGGATTTTATTTTGGAAGTGCATGCCACTATGCTGTATGTCATCAATGTAGGAACTTAATTGACAGAAGGATGGGTCGATCTGACAGTAATACAGACAAAGACACCAGTCCATATATAAATAAATCACTGCCAAAACCTCTAAAATATACAAATATATTGCTGGAGGGAAATTCTTTGCTATACAACTTGGCAATTGCTCTTAGCTGGAATAGTTTCCATTTTAATTTTATATATTTTACTTTTTTTGCTATTTTACTTGTAAATTATTATCAGTCAAACTGCATGAAAACATAGCAAGAATAATAGAACACCAGAAAAGCATCAGAATATCAGAAAAGTATGTTATGGTTAATGAAAGTGGATAGGGAACAGAATATTTTTCAGACTGAACAAAATGTTGTCTTTGGTAAGTCTGAGCTACTCAGATCTGAATACCACCAAATGTTGCTGGGACTTAGCTCTAAAAGCTTACTTTAGGCCATTTCTAATTTCTTGGGATTTTTTAGGGTGACAAGATTTATAGACACAGCTTCTCAGCATGAACAGCATGCATGGAAAAATTTATGCTAAGGTGAAGGATTTCCACAAATCTCATTTGTTGTAACGTAGAACACTTACTGACATGAGAGTTCACTTGTATATGAGGTTCACTGTACAGCTATTAAAATACCGTGTAGCATTAGATTAATGTAAAGATTCATGTGTAAGGAAACCAACTGCCACCTGTGGCTTCTATGTCACTGCTGTTATTATTCATGAGCTTTAGGCTGCGCATCGATCACCTCTGTTCTTCACTCACTATTGGAGCAGTTGAACACAGGAGAAAACAGAAATCATGCCAGCTACCCCCCCGTGCAAAAAAAAAAAATCAAAAAGGAGCTTTTCCATTTTTTTTTAAATAATTTGAATGAAAAAAAGTGGTTCCTGACTTACCGGCTCTCACTGGTACACAGGTCAGTGCAATAGTAATTAAAAAAAAAAAAAAAGAAAATTTTTAAAATCTATAAATTTAAGAGTATTAAAACATTAATAAAGTATAAAATATGATTAACATTTTAATCTTAATTATTTTTCTTGTGTTTCTCATTTTAATATGACAAAGATTTTCTGCATCTTTTACAGAAATACAACATATATGGAAATTGGGAATTTTAAAATTAAAATCCTCTGAGATACTGAAATCAGATCATGATGCTGATGCTGTTTAATGGGATTCTAGAACTTATTCAAGTTAGATTTTATTTTAATGCATTGGATATTAACAGTGAAGTGTAATTACATAATATTAAAATGTAATAAAATTGTTTCCACACTCATACCACAAAGACTGACTGTTAAAATTCAGAAAACAAGGCTTGTAAGAATATCCTGCACTTAAGCTGCATCAGCAGCATAACTTCTTTTGCAATGAGTAAGTCTGAAGAAATTTTTCACTTAAGCCTTTTAAAAACCCTTCACAAACGCCATCTGGTTATGGCCATTAACTATGGGAAGAGATTGAAAGGAGTGGCTTTACAGAAATATGAATAAGACGCCATAGCACAAGGCAAAAACAGAAAAAGGATGCTCAAACTATACTGTGTAGTAGTCATTTTCCATAGTAAATACATATATCTCGGAAACAAGTCATAAAATGAGAAACCATCATCTTTGGAAACCATTTTTAAATCTCATAACCCCCCAGTGTTGCTTTTTTACAAATAAGGGAAATTCATCATATAATTGAGTTAGGAAGGTGCAAATCTTCTAAAACATAGTCTCCTGTTAAAGAAATTAAAAAAGAATACAGTGAAAATGACAATATTGTTTACCATGGAAATAATATTTGCACAAACCAGGACAAAACAACACCTTCTAAAACAACTGAGCAGCAATAGTAATGCCGCTCTATGTTTCTAATATTTATGCCCAATGTATTTATAATAATCTTTTCCAAGGTTTGTGAGAAATAAATCTAATCTCCCCCTTTTTTTCAATCTACACATGGTATATGTGCTAACTTACTGAATTCATCCTTCATGCAATTCCAGTTTATTAAAGAGGTTAAAAATTTATAAAACTCTGATGGGATATGGTTTTAATGCTTCATCACACTACCCATCATTTGCTTTTCAATCTAGATCAGAATGATCTTTCCGACTTCCCTGCAATCACCTACCTGCACAGCTAATATTTTCTGAGCGTTCTCCTGAGAGGCTGCCTGGATCCTCGCCAGCCCAGCCTGGTTGTAGAGGCCATGCTGCCTCCGCTGTGCTGCCAGCACCCCGCGCAGCCGCTTCTGCAGTGCCCAAAGCTGGGACAGCAACACCAACGATGCCAGTGGGGGGGTCAAGGCAAGGAGAAGAAGAGGCAAGAAGGTGAAAGGGAGGAAGGGAAAAAGAAAAAAAAACTAGGAAAAAAGAATTAAATTCCCAAGTCAGAGTAGGAGAGGAAATTAATGGCAGTGTTCAAGAAGAATGATGGAGGGAAATATAGAAAGCAGTCAATAGCCCATTCTGCGCTGTACGGGCCTGACAGGAATTTCACAGTCTCTTGGTTTTTCAGCCCACTCATGCGCATTCATCAGAAACCAGTCACATCTGGCTGCCAGGATGGGGGGTTAATTTTCTCTAAATGCCTCAGCAGTTTTGTTCTAGCTGAAGCAAACTCTGTGACTGCAAAGCTGATGAGTAAAATATTTCTACTTCACCCAGTTTAACTCAAAACCGATAGCCTCGGGGCATATTGAACCTTTCTTAAAAAAATAATCTTTTGAAGCTTTTTGAATGGCACATCAGGTCAGGCCAAAGTTTAAAATGCAAGTTTAAGACTTTGATGGACATAAGAGCTTTTTTTTTCCCTGTGTAAAGCTTATCATAGCTTGGCAATGTGTGCTTTAGTGCATGACAAAACTAAAGAGAATTAACTTAGCCATCAACTGCTCAGGGAGAACAATAACAGGAAAGAAATTTCCATATAGAAGTTCCTATTAATCTACCCAGCTATAACCATATGACATGAAAGCATCTAACAGCACTAAATTGCACTGAATGCGGCAGCTGAGAGTGACACTACTTAAAAAAAAGAGGATTTTATATAGACTTATAGAAAAGATAACATCCTAGGAACTGCATTTGGTGCAAAGGATCCTAACTGAAATGATTCCAAGGGGAAGTGCAGGAGCGCTTACCTGATAGGCTTTTGCTATTTGCTAATGGTAATTATTGTTAAAATCTACAGTTAAGACTGTTACCAGTTTTTCCTTAATCTGCAAGTACTTGGAACATATAAACATGGTGTGGCAGGTCTCACTCTAGAAGAAAAATGTTTTAATGAGATCTGAAAATCTACCAACACAGAACGTCTTTGAAAACAGCTGTGGGGTTTGGGAAATTCTGCAATCATTACATCATACTCTAGACTAGTTTTAATTTAGAAAATTTAAATTTGAGCCACTAAAAGCATTGCTTAGTGGGAACACACTGGTTTGTGTTTGATCAAGTAATAATTTCGATAAATTCTATATCTATTGTTAGCATGAGGCCTTCAAGAATATGCCTGTCAACCAGATTAATACAATGGATTATACCATGCCTTTCGAAATATTCCATTTCATTAAGGTCAATACCACAGGTCAATAATTGGATCAGTTATAAAGAACCTTTTACATGATAAGATATGACTGCTCTTTGGGAGCCAGCGCAGTGTACCAGGTGAAAAATATACTTTTTCAAAAGAATGTATATTATAGTAATATCAAGTGAGCTATTACAACCTAGAGAGTAATTAATGCACATTTTCAAAATTAATGGCCTGATTTTCAAAGATACTGAGTTTCCACAAGTCCCATTAGGTTCTATGGAAGCGGTGAGTACTCTGCATCTTTGTAAATGAGGCTGCAAAATATTAAAACAGATCTTTATGCATATATTTTTTTTTGAGGCCTGCCAGTGTATATTAAAAATAACATGAGAGAAGGCAGACAAACTCAATGGGAAAGTATAAAAATATCAATCTGAATCACAGCCAAAACCTGAACCCAAAATAAGAATACATTTTCCAGCTTGGAGAGCCTCTTCTAAGTACTGCTATTCCTTTCTTCCTGTTTTAAGAATTATTTTGTTTCCTGAAATCTACCTTATTCTCCAGGTCTGCTGTTATTTCAACTATTTTCAGATCTCGTGTTGGTTGATACCATTCTGGAGCCTGAAAAAGAATGCAGGTTAGAGAGGAACAACTTATGACATTTCAGCCCTAGAAAAATTAATTAAGTAGAAGACTACTTCTGGATTATCAAACCTCTAATTTTTGCAAAAAAGGTGAAATAATTGCAAGATATCTATTTTGACATGATGAAGAAAATGGTGACTGGGGGAGCTCAAAGGATCTGTAAGTGAAAGGTGACATTAAGTGAAAAGAATCAATGGCTATCCAACCTTTGCCTTGAGAAAATCAAGACATTCAAAACTTTTGAGGTTTGGCTATTTGAAGAGTTGTATATTTATTGAGAATAAATTGACAGTTTGTATATTTATTGAGAAAAATTGACAATGTATAGTGGCTGGTGTCCAATACAACTTTCACTACTGTTTCCCATTTCAAAATTACAAGTCTGTGATAGCTGTTACTATTGTAAATATCCCTGCATCTAATGTATCTCATATTTCAACTACATTTTATCGTGCCTAGCATAATGGAGCCTAAACCCAATATTTATTAATTTTACAATATGGGTTGCTACAGAAATAACATTTATGTATACAGTTGGAAATACATGTCCTTGAGAAAGTTACAAATTGATCAAATAACTTTACTGGCTTAGAATAAACTAATGGACCCACTAACCTAGGAGGGGTCATGCAAACTCTGGGTTGGATTCAGGTCCCTAGCTGAGAAAACAATTTAAAATACAAAAATCCCAGTTAACCTAGCTAAAACACACTTCTAGCCCAGAAGCAGCCTGTAGATTTCATAAGTTTTGCAATGATCTCCCTGTCCCTCCAGGCACCAATACTGTTCCCTTAGAGCCTCTTCTAGCTCATATACATTTTTACCACATGGAGAGCCTTAAGAAGGCATGTCATACTTGAGTTGCATACACAACGTTACTGCTAACTCCATTTTTTTTAGCTTTTTTTCACTATTTGAGAAAGAAGCTATTGCCTAAGTCTGATCAACATGCCCAGCCAAGTGCTGACAGCGCAGTTAACAGCATTTCCAGTGGTCAAGATATAACAATATGTACAGTAGCCAAATATTTGTATGAACTTCACTTTGGTTTTGCAATTTACTTTTCTGTGAGAGCAGGACTGAAGGAAAATGGTGAGTCTCACCTCTGTGCCTGGCAGGATCATGGAGCAGATTCTCCTGAAAACCATGCTAGGGCACATGAAAAACAACAAGGTGCTTGGTGACAGTCAACATGGCTTCACCAAGGGCAAATCATGCCTGACGAATTTGGTGGCCTTCTGTGATGGTGCTACACAACTGATGGATAGGGCAGAGCAGTTGACGCCTGGCCTTGGGCATCATGGTCTTCTGTGAAGTATCCCTGCCCATGGAAGGAGGGCTGGAACTAGATGATCTTAAGGCCCTTTCCAACCCAAACCATTGTATGATCCTATGACAAAGGAAAAAAAAACCAACAAACAAAACCCACAAACAAACAGAAGCAAGCTCCAGATTTTGGGTATTCAAGAGAACAGGATGGAAAAGAAGCTCCAGGATCTTTGTTTATGCCATTTTTGTACCTGCCATGGAGGCAGCTGATACAGATCCGCTGTTAGTTCCCACAAAACGACCTTCAATTAAAGGGACTGTAGGGGTTTCTGCAGCATCAAAACAAAATTCATTCTGCAAGGAGGAGCAATAGCTTTCAAAGAGGTGTCAGGGGTCTTTTTTACTGGGAGGGGACAATTTTTGCAACAAGTGAATTCTCTCAGTCCTCATCCTACAAACAAGGAGATGGTGAGCCAATGGCTTTGCTGGAGAGGCACCTTTGTGAGCCGCTGGGGAGAATGAATGATGCTGTCAAGGAATTGCCCTTGCCATTCTTCTGCTTTGGGGCTTTACTGTCATTCTCCTTCACTTGTGTTTTGGCTCCCCTCTGTGCCTCACAGCAGAGGGGAGCATATGGCTCTATGTTTAATTCCTTATTTATATGTGGTACTAATACCATCAATAATATCAGTGTAAATTTGGAAAAGGAGGTGTGAACAAGCTGCTGTTTCTATCTTACTAGAGATGAACCTTATGAATTGGGGTACCTTATTCTCTTCTCACTTTTAAGTTTTTTTTTCTGATAAATCAAAACACTTCATTAAATTCATGTTTCATTTTTCATTAACATGATTGAAATTAAGCTAATATTTCAATCTGTAATTTCTTATTTGAGGGATCAAACTGGAATAAAAAGAATGTGATTGATAGTATTTAAAGCAGTGGCCTACCAAAGCCTAAATCATTATTCCAATGGTATTGTTTCTAAGTCCTCATTAATTTATGTTATTATAATATTGGGATTGTCTAGACATTAAACAAAGGTCAAATTAAAATAAAATGCCACACATACAGAAGGAACTGTATCTTATTTAGACCAGAATAGTTTTTACTTTTGTTGTCTGACAGTCCACAGGAACCCAAAAGCTTCACCTTCTTATCTTTTATCACACAGTCTAGCTACACAGGACTAGACCAATGCAGATTACAGACATATTTAACAATGAACCCAAAACTAGGGGTGTTTACTTGATTAAACATCAAATGATATGTGGCCCCATTAAGAATACAAAGTGAACAGCACATGCAACTTAGTCATGATGCTTTTCTTGGTCAATAGCATAATACTTAGAATGTTTCTATTGCCAGTTCTGGCCAGTGACTACATGTTAGCATTATATTGGGTTATGATTACAAGCCTAATTCTCCTCTCTGCTGTTTGTAATTAGTGAGATTCAACTGATCTGATTAAACCTGTTCCTTCATTCCACCTGAGAATGCAAAGAGAGAATCAGACCCTCTGTGAATAAAACTTCATTTTATCTTTCCAACATGATAATTACTCATAATACAAATGCATTCTGCATTTAGAATACACTTATACCTGCGGTGTCTGATGGAATAAAACTGCAAGGTTCTGGGTCACATAAAAGATAGTAGAAATTATTACAGGCAGAACTGGTATGCTGCTTGTCTCAAAAGAAGATTCTCTGTAAATTTTGCCAAATTTTAAACATTTGATCCCAAAATGTGCATGGCAGGTGTTTGCCTCAGGCTAAATTCGTTTAGATAGCCCAAGCAGTTTGCTTATTTTGG